GATAATCACCAGTGGATTGGTACCCTGAGATTCGCTGTAAGAGGTGAGTGAGTCCCTGGAGGAGCAAATCTCACTCCCTTACTTCTCCCCTGATGCACTCTCTGCTTCTTCATCACCATAACATGAGCAGGTTCTTCTCTGCTGTGTCGCTCTGCCGCACCACCCTGCCTTGGAGCCAGTGAGATATGGACTGAAACCTCTACAAATTGTGAGCAAAAACATATTTTTCCTCCTTGAAGATTTGGGTGTCAACTGCTATGTCTCAGGAAGGAGAAAAGTGACTAAAACACCAGCAAATTCCGTCTTAATATCCTACTTATATAAAGAAAACAGTTACACCTACAGAAGCATAGTATTATAACCAGAATTATAGAAATACTCACATGAAAATGTAGATTATTCACCTTGTATTTATTTATTCAACAATGGTATTTTGATGTTATCTATGTCAGTTATTAGGTATAGTGACAGTTGATAAAAAGAGATAGATACCAGACTATTGATTATATAACTTCTTTCAGTATGAAAATATAACTCACTCTGTAAAAAGCTTGACAGAATGAAATATGCCTGTTTTGCTTATTTTGGTATTTTTAGTTTAGAGAAGAGTGCTTGAAACCCAGGTGCTCTGTGACTGGTTCTTGAATTAATAGAATGCATGAGTTATAAACTAGAGCAAGTGTCAGGAAGAAAATGGGCACAGTTCTAATTGAGAATTCAGTTTAAACTGAGAGATCAGGGGTTCTCTTAAGATGTGTCAGTTAGGCTGAGATGGAGGATGACAAAGAAATCACCCAATAAAGGGTGTGGGGCTGGAAGCAGTCATCTGGCTGTAGAGAAATCATGTGCAAAACCATACAGTAAAGATAAGGCATGGCAGTAATGGAATAGAAGGAAGCACCGTCTGCCTGGAACATATGAAGATGAGAAAGCTGTAAGGATGAGGAGAGAGGTGAGCGTCAGAAGCTGGAAGGTCACAAAGGTCTTCGTAATAATACTGCATTGTGTTCTAAGTATGAGAGCAGATCTCAATGCTTGAAGCAGAACTGCACTTCAGATTTCTGCTTTGTAAAGTATCATTCTGGTAGTTACATAATGAATAAATAAGAAGGGCAAAAATTGCAAATGGAAAGTGATTGCAGCAGTCTAATACACGATGGCCACTTAGATTGACAGATACAGAAAAATGTAGGATAATAATAATTACAGTAGTACCGTTGGATTATCTCAGCACTTAGTATGTGATGAGCAGTAGTCTAAGTGAAATAATTTTATTTTCACAAAAATCACGTGGAACTCCTTAAAGTTTGGATCTGAAATGTCCCCCTCTCCAAGCCAGCTGATGGGCTTTGAGGAATGGCTGTATCGGGAGGGCTTTAACCTCATCAATGCATGGATACACTAAGGAGTTCATAGTTGAATGGATTAGGAGGAGGTGGGCCCTGGACGAAGCGGGTGGGTGGTGGGGATGTGACCTTGAGGCTTATATCTTGGCTCAGCTCCCGCTCTCCGCCTCTCTTCTTTCCTGACTTCTTCCTGACTGCAAGGAGAGGAGCAGCTCTGTTCACCACACGCTCTCTGCCAAGACATTTCTGCCTCACCTGCGGCCCGCAAAAATGAAGCCTGCTAGCCGTTCCTGGACTGAAACCTTTGAAATTGTTTCAAAATGAAACTTGTCTCTTTTAAGTTGTTTTGCAGAGGTATTTTGTCACACTGATGGAATGCAAACAGAATAAACAAGCCTCTGAAAAGAGAAGCGAGCTTTCTATCTTTAGATAATTATTAAGTAGAGGATCTTGGGTCTGAACATAGGCTAACTTTTAGAAGGGAAATAAGATTTGGAAATAATGAAAATGCCTGATGTTGGAGTAGAAATTATATATCTCTAGGGAAAACTGAGGTCTATGGGCTGGGGATTTACCTCAGTGGTGCTGTGCCTGCTTTGCAAGCAAGGTCCTGAGTTCAATCCCCAGTACCAAAATAACAAAACAAAGCAAAACAAATATCCCAAAACCAAAAGATGCTGTGATCTGTTGTTTGATTATCTGGCTGGTAAGTTTCAGTATATATGTTTAAAACCTAATAGATATGTTTTTACTTCCAGTATTATTTGAGGTGATAGACTTAAGGATTTGCAACAGTATATACAGATTTGTGACTAGATATGGTTACTGAAGGTGACAGAAAGATGTAAGAGGAAAACAAGTTGAGCTGATATTTGAAGAACACTGAAATGTAGATGTTAAGAAGAGAGAATCAGCATGCAAAGAATCCTTAAATATAGAGCAAGCAGGGAAATAGATATGAAGGGAAAAACAGGAATATTTTAATATCTAAGTGGGTCTGGAAAATTGAAATGGTCAGCTAGATCAAATGCAGATGAGATCTTCAAAGAGAGTGTTGGAAACCACCACTGGATTTGGCAACGTGGCACAATTAGTGTCACAAAGGCAAAAGCCAGACCAAAGAGCTTGGTGAGTGAATGGGAGTTGCAGAAGCAAAGTTTGGCTATCGATGACAGTGAAACTATGAGCATAGAAGACAAAGAGGGTGAGGAAGTTAGTGATCTGTTTCCCATGAATGTTCTTCAATGAGACATTGCAGTTTGTCTAATGAGTGCAAGGTACCTACTTTGCTTTATTCAGAACTTAATGGATCCCACCAGACACACACACACACACACACACACACACACACACACACACAGTTTATCAGATCAAATGAGAAAGACTGATAGTAGTCAAGGAATGGCCAGTATACAAAGCTATCATTCTTTTGTTTGTTTCTTTCTCTTTTCTTTAAAGGTTCTAGTGGATTTCCATCCCTTTTACATGGCTTTCAGGGAAATATAATTAAGTGACAAAATCAGATTTAAATCAGGTTCTAAGAAAACATACATTAGAAAAAGAAAAAATATCAAAAAAAGAGAACTAAAGAGTCAGATAAGAGTGCATGAAGGAGAGTGGAAAACTGAAAAATATTTTAGCACAAAATTGCCAAAATCAGATTTAGGGAAATATGAGAAATGTTACCTTATTCTAATCCTTTATAAGAATAGATAGGTATTGAATTATGACCTAAGAATATATACCTCACCTTTCCTTTTCATTCATTTCCCTTGAAGTGCTCTCTGAACCTTTTAGTTACATATTAGAAGAGTAAGGGTAAAACCTTGTCAAGAATTACTGATGAGAAGATTATTAAGTATGTGCCACAACACTAGGTAATACCATATGCCCACTCTTATTGTGAAACTGTTACTTAATCTTAGGAAAATTCAAGGAGTAACTAGACAAGTGTTTGTTATTCACAACATATTTCTAGTGAATTAATTCCTACTTGCCTGGCTAATCAGATCAGCGAATTAGCTTGTGCATCCAATGATACAGCTAAATAACTATCCAAAGTACATTTTTTTTTTTCTGTACCAGGGATCAAACTCTGGCCCTTGCTTGCCAAGCAGGCAGTGGAACCACTGAGCCAAATCCCCAGCCCCAAAGTACATTTGAAATGAGTGGAGGGGAGAAAAGAAAACTCACAATAATCTGGATTTATATTAACACCCTTTACTTAAATTTAGTCAGCTCAAAATATTTTATAATGAGCCTTCACTGTTTTATAAATTTTTGGTTTAAACTACTTTGATTAACATGTTTTCTGGAAGAGGAAAATATTGTCTAATTAACATGGAGTGGGAGAAGACAAAGGAGGAGGGTCAATACTTATTTTCACTAGAGACTACAAGGATAAAGAAACACAAAGACTAGAGAAAAGCCCAGCACTTCAATCTCTGTTATTTCAGGCAAGAAAAAAAAAAAATCAGTGACCTTGTTGCTCCCATTCTCATTCTCTAAGTGATTTCAGTGGGCAGCACAGCAACAGTTCCCTTACCGCCATGCACACTGTTACTTCTGGCTCAAAAGGTTTGCCGGGAAACAAATATTCTCAAATAACTCGGTAGTACATTTCCCATCAGTCCTGCAGCTTGGCAATTCTGGGAGTGATTAATGAGACAGCCAAGACCCCAACCTCAGGCGACTTCCGTGGGAAGCAAGGATTTAGCAAGGCGTAAAGGCAGAAGATGGCTGGGCACAGAGCCTGCTTCTCCACCACCGCCTTCTTTGCTAGTGCAGTTGTTCCAGCTGCCAGAGGCTTTCCGGTTGCCATGGCAACTCTGGGGTCTCTGCTAGGAACTCAAAAGCAGAGCCTTTGAAGTTAGGCACCAAACACTGGAGCTCAACAAACGCAAAGGCAACAGGGGAGGGCAAAGAGAGCAAGGATCACCCATGTAGTATCTCCACGATCAAATTTGTTTTTATGATTGTACAATGAGATCGTTTCTTGCTTGCCATTTCCCATTAGTGTCACGTTTTTGGTTCCCGTGGGGGAAAGTATACTGCAAATGCTGTTGCTGGAAAGGCGGTGGTGGTGAGGACGGGTCGCGTGAGTGCCCAGAGAGAACGCAGGAAGGAGCCAACCCATTCATTCATTCATTCATTCAGATATATATTCAACTTCTCCCCAGAGCTCCTTTGTGCAGGACACTATGCCGGCTACTAGGTATGCAAAGAGAAACGAGACCCCGCCCCACCTTCAAAGTTAGCAAACGATAATTAACCCAGATGAACAGAGTCCTTTGGAGCCGAAGGAAAGCCAGTTAGGTACTGCTTGCTTTTCCCGGGTCTCTCCGGAATACAAGCCCGGGGAGGTAGGAGGCAGCGCCTGGAAACAGAGGTGGTAAGGCCGGCGGGAAGAAGGAGCCAGCCTGTTCTTTACCCGGGGAGAGAGTCTGGCAAAGCCACTCAAAGGTTTATTTGCCGTTGGGAGGGAGAAGGGGTTTTTCCTTTAGAAAAACGGAGCCCTTTTCCTTACTGGGCTCGATTTCTAGTAGGGGAAGCCCCTCCTCTTTGGGCCATTGATTGGCCCAACTCTTTTCGGGATAATTTATGCCGTCCTCCTCTCGATCTGATTGGCTACCCGTTCAGTTCCACCGGGAGTCGCATCCTACCTGGTGAGGAGGTGTATCGCCTTTCCACACTCGCCCTGCTCCTACTCTGCGGGTGCTGAGGAGGGAAGCAAAGTCCTAGTCTGGAGACCGAGCCAGTGCAGAATCAACAGAGAAAGAGATCCCGATGGGTTCTTGGGAAGCTTTTCTCTTCTCCCCTTTTCTTATGTGGAGTCAAAGTAGAGGGGTGAGATTGATGTTTTTATTACTGACCCTGCATTTAGGAAACTGGTGAGTAAATTCAAGGACTTAAAACTATTCTTTGCTTAACTACCTCTTCCTCTCACCCCTTTCTTAAAAAAAAAGAAAATCGTGTTAAGTCATTTACCTTCCTGAGGAACATGTACAGTGTTTGCCATCATTTTATTTTCTGATTAGATCTCTTCACTCTCACCATGAAATTAGCTTATTTCTGAAGCATAGAGGTTCCTTCAACGGCTTTATGACTTCGGTGCGAAGTAGTAAAGCTTCCCTACTGGGAGGGACTGTAGGAGACTAGAAACGACTGCTCCTAAATTTTCTGAAGTAATGCTTTGATGAACTTTCTAGATGATTCTGCATTTCAAAGACAAAGTAATCTCCCAAACTTCTTATTGCACAGCATGGTTTGCATGATGCTTTTCCATATATGAATCTAGTGTTTTTCTTTTTCTTTGGTATCTTGCAGGAATAAACCAGTGTTTTACAAGAAAGATTATCAATTTGGCTAAAAGCTCTTTTAGAGTTGAAAATGCAACATTTAAATCAGAGATAATCCTGTACGTTTTATTTGAGCCAGCCTTGAATGTTTTATTTTAATTGGTTGTCCACTACTAATTTAAAAAATGTATGGTTATGTGAATGTGTTGGCTGTATCTGTGTGAGGTGACCAATCACAGGCCTCTAGTCTAACAGGAACAAGACTGGGTTGGAAAACCTCAATAAAACTTTGGAAGCATTCTGTTAGGAAAATGGAATCCTCAGGTGCACATCTGAAGCATGTGAAAGAATAAAGGAAGAATGGTTTTAAAATATATGGATTAAGACATGGTTACTATAAATGGCATTAATATACAACCCAAGAAAATATGTTATTTTACCTAAGTACACATTTGCAATTATATTATTCAATTATAATCCTGCTTAGAAGTTGAGTAAAGTACAATAACTGTGCTGATGGGAGTCTACCTTTACACTATGTCCTTACTTTATAAATCATTATTATAATTTCAATATAGGGCCAGATTGAGTAATTTTAGCATTGCCAGCAGATGGAACAACTATATTGAATTAAAGTCCATTTGTCTTGCTAGAAATGTTTTGACATTTAGTGGCTTTCTTTTTCAAATATTACAGTTCATTTATCCCTCTGAGCCCCATATTCTCATGTGTTAAGTATCGTTAACCTCTCTGCACACAGTTGCTTCACCTACCAAATGATTGATTCCAGTTTCCACATTCAATACTTCTAATGTTTGGACTGAAACACAAAATGTCTAAAGGGTTGCTTCACTAGATTTTCTTTGTATCTGTGAAGAGACAAATTCTAAATTTGAGTGCCATGTATGTTTTTGCCATATGTGAGAGGGAGACAGTGAGCATGCTGTGAGTTGAATTGATAAATAACTCATTTCATCATAATAATATAGAATCTAGGTTATTCTAGCTAATGAATAGATACATAAACAAATAAATCCATATGTTGCTGTTCGAATTATCTTTTTGCCTCAGTTATGAAAGTTTGTCTTCACCCTTTAGAGTAACTAAAGTCATGCACAACTAACCCTTTTAATATTTAATTGGAGATAACTGATTTCAACATTTATATATTTCATACAATCACATTTCCCTTTGTCTTTACCCTTTTTAGAGAGACATTTTAAAGCTAAGCATAGATAGTTCTGTCTGTAACAATATTGATGTCATACTGGTTTCTAAAGTAAATCTATAGTCATCTTTGTTGTGATTTACTAGATTGGAAACCATTATATCTTATACATAATCAGAGGCAAAAAACATGTTCCCTCTTTAGTTTTCATCAAGATCACAAAGGAAAGACAATACATTGATTTTTGTACTGCTGAATTATAAAACCTGATGCTGTTGTAACTAAAAGCTATAGTCATGGATCCTGGGCTTAATTCTCCAGAAGGCTCTATGGTAGCTGGTCAAGTTGGTGTCTATTTCTGCAGCTTGATTTGACTTTTTTGCAATGTTGAAAAAAAAAATCTCATTATAATCAGATTTTCAAAAAGAGTTGAAAAATTTAGCAATTGCAAGGTCCCAAGTTTGATCCCTGGAAAAAAAAAAAAAAAAAAAAATTATCATGAGATTTTAGTTGTTACAAAAAATCACCTAGGATAAGCTTTGACTGAGAAGTTATGTTTTGAGAAATAAATTAATTTGTTTTAATTTCTTTTAATTTCCAAGGATCACTAATCACATAAAACAGATTTAGTTTTCCAAATTAAAATATTCAAAAATATACCTACATTTATGATATGTTATTTTAAAGTAGTTTTAGTTAATATAGTTTGTGTATTGGGGTAGTGAATGAATGATTTTTTATTTAGGTGTGGCGATTTGTGGTTTAATTTTCTAGTAAAATCTGTAAACATGTAAACATGAGAAAAATATTAATATGTGATGATGCTCCATGATAATTACATATTCAAAAGACTAAGAGACAAAATGATTTTAAAGTTAAAATACAAACCCTTTTGTATAATTGATAATACTCTTGTGCAGAGAGTCTTCAGATTTCCAACAAGCAATGCCCTTCTTCAATTTCAATTTCAGTTTCATTCCATTCTATACTATGAAGCACAGATCTGGCTAAGCAAGAAAGGGAATGTTTGGCATTTTTCTTTAACCTTAAAGTGCTTGCGCTAATATTTTATATTTATATAAAGATGGTTAACATTTGTTTAGGAACATAAGAATGTGTGTGGGGGCCCCCAGAGAGGAAACAAAGTATAGAAAACGGAAACAAATGTCTGTTGAGAGGATCCAATTGATAGGATCATATGTGATAAATGCCTGCTATGGAGCACGAAGGGAGAGGAAGCACATGTGGCATGTTTAAGATTCGGGAGAGCAATTCATGTGTGTGAAGGTACCGAGTAAGAATCCTGGGTTTTACCACCCCGTTTAAATTCTAGTTTCAGCTGTACCATTTCCTATTGGAATGATTTCAGGCATGTCTTTGAGGCAAAGGGTCCTCATTTATCATCTACATTTCCAGATTGTTTCATGACCAAGAAAGACAATTTGTGCCATGAACCTAGCACTTTACTACATTGTGTCTGTAAGGCAAGATATGATGACAAATATTTTGTGAAATCACAGTGAATCCAGGTATTGTTTATCCTTGTTAAAGTCATTTTAAATATAGTTGAATGAAGTCTTTTATTTATATGTCATTAAATTCCTTTTCAGTTTTGGAGAAAGCATTCATTCAACAATTTTTTATTGAATTCCTGCTGTGTGCTAACTGCCATGCACTGTGTTAAGTTTTAGGTGATGAATGGAGTAGACCCAAGTACTACCTGCAGGGAACTTGTCCATCTAGATGTAGGGTATTGATGAAAGGAAAACAACTTTTACTTAAAAGAAGTAAGTACACCATCAACTCTCTCAAGATAAATAGAGAGTGTTAAACTGTCGAGGACAGAAGATGCTTGTCATGGCTCGGGTCTAGATGTCGCCGCAAAACCTAATGCAGGCATTGGTGGGGCTTTTCAGAGGTGACTAAAGCAAAAGTGTGTGATGCGGCGATTAAGGGTGTGTACTTATTAAATTAGTCCACTGATGGGTTTGGCATAGGTCTGGCTGTGGGTAACGGGAAGACCACCCTAGGTGTGAATGCTACCTGCTCTAACAGTGTGCAGTTTGAACACACTATGAGGAGCAGACTATGAGGAACTGTCATCACTTGCTGCTTGCTGCTTTTGCTGCCTCCTGCCCTTTGTCTTCTACACCATGGCTATTTTTTCTCCTCTGTGATGCCCCTCTGCCCTGCCATCCTGCCTTGGGCCCAGCTAATTATGAACTGAGATCTATGCAAACTTTTCCTCCCTTTTTAAGGTATTGATTATTTTCCCTCAGCAACTAGAAAATTAATTAAGATAATGCTGATACCACAAATCATAATCAAGAAAAGAGAAATAAAGAGACTTGTCATTTCTCATAAGCAATACCAGAAGATTATGGAGAAAATACCTTCAAAATTCTGATGACAAATATCAGCCTAGGAAATTGTACTCATCAAATTCCCAATCAAGCATGAAGTAGAATAAAGCCTAGATATTATTAGTTTTACAAGTGGAAAAACAGAGGCACAGAGATTTTAGGAATTTATTAATCACTTTCCTGCTGATGAGTGCTGGATCTAAGACTTAAATTCATGTTTCCGAAACTTGCATCTTAAAATAACAAAATGCTCATTACAAATTCAAAATACAATGGTGCTTCAGTACAGGAACTTAATTGAAAAGGCTTCATTTGCGTTCATGAGGGGAAGATGACTATGGTCCTATTCTTCACCTGATGTGGAGTTCACAAATGGAAGCAAAATTTTGCCCAGTATTTGTTTGTAAACAAAAGCATCGGTGAACCAAAGTATTGTTGTAAACCACAATCAACCGTTGATGATAGCAA